CCCCCATGCCAAGCTGCGCCTACAAAAACAACCATTGACCAGGGCAATGTACCCACACTCCACTCAATGTGGCCTAGGCACTGTGCCCACCACCCACGGGCTGGGAGGCCAGAGCACTCTGGGACTCCTTTATCACAAGGAAGTAGCACGGAGCCTCTAAGGACAGAGAAAGGAGACGGGGCAGAATAGAATTAGCCTCCCTCACTGCTCTGCGCCTAGACCCAGCAATCCAGGACTGAACCTCCAAGCACTCCCAGGACCTTCCACTTCTGACACCTACCCCCTGGCCCTTCATCACCACAGAGCTTGGTTTGATCTCTCCTGCTCTAAGACTCTGATGCCAGAGGTTCCTGAAGCTTTGGCATAAAAATCAAATAAAAAATTCCTGTTTAAAACAAAAAGCAAAAATCTCCAAACTCCTCTAAGGATCATTTGGGAAAAAATTAAGAACAACAGCACTGTCTGACCCCCAGCAAGACCAGTGCCCAGCAGCGGGCCTGGAGACCCGGGAAGCCGCGCACTTTCCAGGCTGTCCTTGGAACCGCAGTTCCCATTCCTGATGGCACCTGGAATGGCTCATATCATTTCCATCCAGGAGTCTTAAAATTCCTCAACAGTCAAAGGCACTCTGGTGCCCTCTCCCAGACACAGGCAAACCTGACCAGCCAGTCGCCTACTGGTCTCCACTATAGAAACCTGGAACACCTTTCTTCCTCCGGCTGACTTGTTTATTTGTTTATCCATTTATTTTTATTTCAGTGCTGGGCTAACACCCAGAACTTCCCCACATGCTAACCAATGCTCTGAGATAGCGCAGCCACTGCTGGCCATCTTACAGAGAAAGTTTAGGTTAAAAAAAAAGTCTGGGAATCCTCTTAGATAGAAAACTGTACCAGGAAGAAGCCCTGGGGAGTATGAATGAGGAAGCTGCATCCTTGGATGGCTTAACCAGACTGGGCAAGGTGGTGGGGTGTGATGGAGGTGGTTGTGGGGGTGGCGGTGGTGGGTGGTGGCGGTGGCGATGTTGACACTAACTTCCCAGTCTCACATGAGCCAGCTCACCTTTACACACACAGGCTCATCTTCTATACCGACCTACAGAGGACAGCGCCCAGGGCTAAGTTGCTGGCTCCAGCTCTGCTTTTCCCAGAGATCCCTAGAGGAACGTTGCTGAGCGTCTCTGCTTATCCAATCTAACCTTCTAAATCTCTGGGAGGAGAGAGCAGATACATTTTTATAGACACAAGGGTCACTTCCACTAAGGTGGCCTCTGCTGACTGTCACCCTTCCTAGGGTCAGACTTAGCCACTTCCCACCCTTCTGTGTGCATGCTCCACCTTATGCACAAGCAGCTGTGATGCCCAGCTGCACATCTGCATCCAGGGCTGTGCTTCAAGGTCCTATTCAACTCATTTAATCCCCTCAAGCACAGCACTGTGCCTGGCCCTTAATCAGACGTCTCTGTTTATTGGGGGGATGAGTGAATGGTTCAGAGAAGTTTGGAAACCGGCAAAACCCAAGCCTGGCTCCTCAAACAGATGTCTGTCCGATGGATAATTTGCACAGAAGAACAGGTGACACCGGTATGAGAACCAGATGCTTCTCACAGACCTGCTGAGTGATTTCTGTCACTCAGATCCCAAGTCTCTCCCACCACGCTGGATACCCCTCACCCCCTTCAATGGATCCATATAGTAGCTACAGGACAGATGGAAAGGGTTTGCAAATTCTGCATACACCTTGTGAGAGGGAATCCCAAAGGTTGTCTCTCCCCTGGGGCCTGAAAACAGTCCACAAAGAATCCAGGCCTCAGGCCCCCATCTGTGTGGGGGAGAGAACAGATGGCTAGTCAACTCCCTTGAATTTCCCTGGAGACAGGCAGCGTGTGGACACAGTTGACGGATAGCCTGGTGGGCAGAGCGGTAACCAGTAGCTGTCCCCATGGAGCTACTGTCATCAGGATAATCCACCCACAGGCTTGAAGATGCAGAAAGGCTCTTGGCATGAAGTGGGGTTGGAACCAATGCCAAGATGATGAGCAGAAGTTGGAGTGGGAAAAGAGGAGACGATAAACTGAGGGCCCCAGGAGAGTTGACAAGCCTCCCCACAGCTCCTGGGGTCTGTGTCAAGAAGCTAGAAATGCTGGGCCCACCCTGCTCCTCTGCTTGTGCAGTCCTCACCACAACCTGATGGGGAGAAGGTATACAGATCCTTCCAGCCCCATGGGTCTTATTGTGCTTCCGAAGTCGCATAGGCATGGGGTCCCCTATGGTGTCCTCTGGGCACCAGCTGGGCTTGTCCCATGGGGACCAGAGCAAGCCAGACTTCAGGGATACCAGCTGCAAGGTGGATACTACCAGCACCTCCAAGCTAAAGCATCCTTTCCCCTGGGGATGGGGGAAGCAGCAGCTACCTGGGAGGGGAAAGTGGCTGGGAAATGTGAGATACCTGAGCTATAAAGAGTAAACATAGTGGCATCTGGAATGCCAGGCTCAGGGTCCCAGAGGCCTGGCTGTGGTTCGGCAGGGAGCTGGCAACAATACTCTGGGGGATTCATGCTTAAAGAAGAAAGTTCCATCTGTTAAAAGCAGTACTGGCGGCCGGGCGTTGGTGGCGCACGCCTTTAATCCCAGCACTTGGGAGGCAGAGGCAGGCGGTTCTCTGTGAGTTCGAGGCCAGCCTGGTCTACAAGAGCTAGTTCCAGGACAGCCTCCAAAGCCACAGAGAAACCCTGTCTCGAAAAACCAAAAAAAAAAAAAAAAAAAGCAGTACTGGCAGAGGAGAAACTAGACGAGCATGGCAGTATAATATAACCTTGGTTCTGAGATAAAATGTTTCCCTTTCACTTCTCCCTTTAAATCATCGTTCCTCAGTTCAGCGAAGCTAGGTGGACAACACAGAGAAGACGCTCAATGTGTATTCTGCACTCTGTGTGTGTGTGTGTGTGTGTGTGTGTGTGTGTTCTGTGTGTGTGTGTGTTCTGTGTGTGTGTGTGTGTTCTGTGTGTGTGTGTGTGTGTGTCTTGGTTGTTTGTTTTTGTTTCTAAGACAGAGTCTCTCTACATAGCCTTGACTAACCTTGACAAAGTTGGCTTCAAACTCACAGAGATCCATTTGCATGGAGATTACAGGCATGCACCACTGCACCTGGCCTTTTTCTTATTTTTTGAAAGATTTATTTATTTTATTTTATGTGTATGGTGTAGGAGCATTTTTCCTGCATGTTTGTATAGGCACCTCAGCCTTCCTGGTGCCCCAGGAAGCCAAAAGAGGGATTCTGATGGGGATGTCCTTCTGTATGCTATGAATATATGTTTCTCTTATTGGTTGATGAATAAAGCTGTTTTGGCCAATGGACAGGCAGGAATTAGCCAGGCGGGAAATCCAAACAGGGACAGAGAAAAACAGTAGATGGAGTCAGGAAGACATATAAAGGAAGGCCTGAAACACAAGTCCAGTATGTCTGCCTAAGTCTGGCCTGCCTCTCTCAGCCTCCTCTGAACCCAGAATACTGCAAGCAGGAGCCATTAACCCCAGCATCCTACTCCCCCTCACTGGGAGGCAGGCTCTGCCTGCTTCCTTCCCTTTCTGACTTTGGCACATCTGGCTAGTCACTTGATGCTGAAAGGTCCCAGGCAGGTCATGCACTGCTCAGGCTGCAGGGCATAGATCTGGACAGTCCTAAAACACACAGCGGAATGAGAACAATGACTAAAGGCCACCTTGTCCCTCATACACCATGTCCTCACAGGACAGTCAAAATCCTTTCACTCTCCCTGTACCAAAAGATCCCCAAGGTCAGAGGTCTTGATGCTCCATGGAGACCTACCCATGCATTTACTCTGGGTCTCTGCTCTCATGCCTTCCACTGGGGTTTTTCATGGAGATCACAGTTGGTGAATCTGGGGACATTCAGTATACAAACTGTCTCTGCAGTGTAGACAAATCTTCTGTCTCACCTGCTGTTCATGCTTCCCTCACTCAACATGAAAGGAAGTCATCTCCCCCAGAACTGTAACCACACAACTATACACCCCCAGGCAGCCATGATTTTAAGTCATTTATCATACTGTTTCCACCTCTGAGATCTAAACAACATGGACTTCCTATACTACCCCCCTCCAGACAGTTTCTCTGTAGCCTTGGCTGTCCTGGAACTCGCTCTGTAGACCAGGCTGGCCTCAAACTCACAGAAATCCACCTGCCTCTGCCTCCCAAGTGCTGGGATTAAAGATGTACACCACCACCGCCGCCCTGCTGGATTTCCTATACTTTAATGTTCACACACCCTCAGATTTGGAAGTGGCACCTGCTAACCTCCAATTTAGGGCTCAGGAAATATGGTACCCAAGCCCCTAAACTATCTCTATATGATGAAGCTGAACACTTCCTCACCACTACCCATGGCAACTCACTCCTCTTGATAGTGCTAGGGAAGCAGCTGAAGTTCAGGCGAAAGCTTATCTTAAGCCAATGGCCTTGAAGAGTCATACTGAATTCAATCAAGCCACTCCAAAAGGACATTGGAGGGAAACATCAGACCAGGAGACCTAGCTGAATTGCTGAGGGCTTTGTCCCAGTGAACTTTTTTTTTTTTTTTTTCGAGACAGGGTTTCTCTGTATTGTGTTTTGGAGGCTGTCCTGGAACTAGCTCTGTAGACCAGGCTGGCCTCAAACTCACAGAGATCCACCTGCCTCTGCCTCCCGAGTGCTGGGATTAAATGTGTAGGACACCACCGCCCGGCCCCAGTGAACTTTTGGGGGATTGCCTTCAGCATCTTAAGAAGGCACAGAAGAAACAAAGTGTGACTTTAATGAACATCTGGTATAGGGCACCCTCTCCTGGGAGGCCCCTCCCTGTTGTCCCAGCTTTGAATTTCCTCACTTGCTAAGCTCTGCTCACCATTCCTGGGTACCCTCAATCACCCACTTAAGTACACCAAGGGGAGATGCTCACATGCCCACTCGCTGCCCACCCCTGATACCCAGGGAAGAACTCACATCAGCCGGCTCCCTGCGGTGTCCCTCGCCAGTCCGCAGCCAGCTCCGGCTCAGCTCACTAAGCTCTGGGATGGGCTGTACTTTGAGCCGCACACTGTCCCCAGACTGCCGGATCATCTCCACAATTTCATCCCTGGACTTATTCTCCACATTCTGTCCGTTAATCTCCACCAGTCGATCTCCTGGCACCAGCCCCAAGGCCAGGTCCTTGGTGCCTGCACCTGGCTCAGCGAAGTGAACCACCCGTCGATAGGCCTGACCCTCAGGGGCCCGGTCCAGCATGGTTGTACGCCGAAGTGAGAAGCCAAAGTCTCCTGTGGGTCGTCGTTGTAACTCCAGCTCCCGGAGAGCAGGAGGCGGCGGGGGCACCACAGCGGGGAGACGTAGGTCGGCTGGGAATCTTTTAGTCACCAGCTCAGGGACTCGAGACCGTGGTCCTGGTCGAGGAATGCCTAGCCCAGGATGCTGCATTAGCTGTCCCTCAAGCGTCCTCACCTCTACCTGAGGTGATGGGGCTGCAGAGTGCTCTGAGGGGGTGGAGGTCTCTGAGGCACTCTCATCCCGGCTCCGTTGGGAGAAGGAAAAACGTTTGACAATCATCTGAGAGTTCTGTTTGGCCAGTGAGCCGAACTTGGCTGCCCGCTGCAGCACAGAGCCCCGGAAGCTGCCTTCCTCACCCTTGAGGTCATCACTGGAGCTGGCTGTGCTTAGGTGGCCTGAGTCCAGGATGATGCTGCCCCGATTGCTGTCAGAGTCAATGTCAGTCAGGTGCAGGTCAGAGCCGCTGGCCACCTTGATAGGGATGGGGTTGGAGATTTCCAGACGCGTCTTGGATTCTCGCTTGGAGGAGCGGTTCAGGTTGAAGAAGCCTCGGCGCATGCTCATCTCTTCCAGGCTCCGCAGTTCTGCGGCTGACATCCGCTCTTTCTTCTCCTTTTTCTCCTTCTTCTCCTTCCGCCCGCCATCTTTGTCTTTATCTTTCTTCATGAGGTTAAACATGGTGGGTGTGCTGTTTTTAGGGGTTGTACCCCCAGAAGATTATGGATGGTTAACGCAGCGTCTTTGGCCCTCACCTTGCAGCTGCAAGTAGAAATAGAGAAAAGCTATTCAGTCTTTTCCAGTTCAGACAGAAGCAGCTGATGCTGATAAACCAGTCAGCCCTCATCGAGCGCAAATGATGTACCAGGCACTCTGATTTACATCATTTTATCTAACTTCACTTCACTCTTTAGATCAAAATGTAGGTGAACCTGGAGAGACTTGACCTACAGAAAGCCCTATGGCAACCTGGAGCCAAAATGAAGAACAGAATACAAAAGGAAACAGAAGGAACTCTGCAACATCATCCCCCACAAGCATGTCCGTTGCAGCAATGGATGTCCCACTTGACTGGGCTCTTTCCTATGCCTGGTATCCCCAGAGCCTCCGCCTCAAAGACCTTGAAGATTCCAACTTTTTAAAAACAATATTCATTTCTATGAGTATTTGACTGCCTGCCTGCTTATGTTATGTTATACCTAGTGCCATAACAGACCAGAAGGGTGTGGGGTCCCTGGTACTGGAGTTACAGACATTGTGAACCCCCTCCATGTGGATGCTGGAAACTGAATCCAGGTGCTCTGCAAAAACAAGTGCTTTTAGCCACTGAACCCGGGGCCCAGCATTATTTGATGTCTCTTCTTGGGACTTCACACACACCCTGCATCCTATTCAGTCCTGGAAGCACTCCCGCGGAGCACGTCTTCAAGTCTGCTTCACAAATGGGAAAAATGCGCTCAGGAAGTTAAGGGTATGTCAGGTGCCACCCATGAAGTAAGTGGCAATGCTTCTGTGTCCCTTCTAAGGCCCTGGGTGCCCAAAGGAACGCAGGGAGGGAAGGAAGGGGAAATCCCAGACTGTACACGGGACAGACAGTTGTAGGGTGGGGGTGGGGTCAGCTAGATAAACAGGGTCCTGAAAAACTCACATCCGTTTCTCTAGACCAACACCTAAATATAGCTGAGGAAAGACAGTTGTGGTCCTCAGACCACCAAGAGACAGGTCCAGCTCCAGGATGTGAGCACCTAGGGCCCCAACCACCCCCACTCATGCACACCCAGCTGGGGGCAGGACTTAGGAAAAGCTGGTTCCGGTGGAGCTCAGAGAGCCTTTCTGCTTCTAACCAGCAGGGAACACAAAATAGAAGTAGGCCATACCTTCTAATTAGAAATTAACTGTAATTTTTCTCCATGAAAGCCTCCCCTCTGAATTCCAGACAGAGGATCTATGAGCTTCCCCCCTCCAGTAATGGCCTATTGCCAGGCCCTGGACAGGCATTTCCTCTCTCTACCCCACCCCCACAGCCAGGCAAAGGCCTGCAGTATCCCCATTCCACTGAGAAGGGCCAACTCCCACCAACCAAGTTTCAATGCCCAGGAAGGCATCAAGACCAGGAACTCCCAATGGCCCTGTGTACCGCCTAATTGCTTCCCCTCTGCAAATCACCCTGATCCACATGGTTCCTCAAAATCTCCCTTCTAAAGCAGTACTATCTATAAGAAATAAAATCCAGATTAATACATATATGTACATATACATTTTTTTCAAGTAGCCATATTTAAAAAGATAAAAAAGAACAAGTGAAGAGTATGGAGAGACGGCTTGGCAGAGCTGAGAGCACTGGCTGCTTTTCAGGGGGACCCAGGCTTGATCCCAGTACACACATGTCTGCTCACAATCAATTCCAGGAGACTCAATGGTCATTTCTGACTTCCATGGGCACCAGGCACATATGTGGTACACACACATACAGGTAAGCAAAACACCCATACACATTAAATGACAAAAAGAAAGAAATAGGTGAATTTGGTCAGGGCAACACATACCTATAATTCTAACTACTTGGATGGCTGACACAGAATCTTAAATTTGAGGCAAATTTAGACAGGAAATAGAAACCTTGCTTCAAAAACAAACTAGATGAGCTTAAGTTTATTAATATATTTCATCTGATACAATATATCCAAACTATTGTCATCTCAACATATAATAGCCATAAAAACATTGAGGGATTTTTTGGGTTTTTTTTTTTGGTTTTGTTTGTTTGTTTTTTCTTTTTTTAAAGATTTATTTATTTATTACATATACAGTGTTCTGCCTACATGCCAGAAGAGGACACCAGATTGAACTGTAGATGGTTGTGAGCCACCATGTGGTTGCTGGGAATGGAACTCAGGACCCCTGGAAGAGCAGTCAGTATTGTTCTTAACCTCTGACCCATCTCTCCAGCCCCCTTGTTTGTTTTTTTTCAAGACAGGGTTTCTCTGTGGCTTTGGAGCCTGTCCTGGAACTAGCTCTTGTAGACCAGGCTGGCCTCGAACTCACAGAGATCTGGCTGCCTCTGCCTCCAGAGTGCTGGGATCAAAGGCATGCACTACTATCACCTGGCAAAAAAGCATTGAGATATTTTTAAATTCAATTTTCCATATTTGGTTCTGTATTGGTTTCAGAATAAATAAATAAATTGAATTCTGATATGGATTTTACATTTAGAGCACAATTCAACTCAGACAGACTGCATTTCAGATAGCCAGTGCAGGGCTGCTGGAGGGGCCAGTACAACTCTAGGGAACTCTAGCAATAGAATGTATCCTGGTTAGTTTTTTGTTAACTTGACACAAGCTAGAGTTATCTGGGAAGAGGAGAATCAATTGAGAGAATGCCCCCATCAGATAAACCTATAGGGCATTTGCTTGATTAAGATTTGATATGGGAGGGCAGAGCTCACTGTGGGCCACTCCTAGCAGGAGATCCAAGGAGGTATAAGTAGGCTGAGCAAGCTAAGAGGAAAAAGCCAGTAAGTGGCACTCCTCCATGGCCTCTACTTTGGTTCCTGTCTCCAAGTTCTGCCTTCAGATCCTGCCCTGACTTCCCTTCAGGATCAACTGTGAAAACCCTTTCCTCCCCAAACTGCTTTTGGTCACAGCCTTTATCATACCAAAAGAAGGCAAACCAGGACAGAATATATTCATAGGGATAAGAAATCTGGTTTGGTCACTAACTCCTTATAGCTCGTAGCTGGTACACACGTGTGTGGCTGTATGTGTGCATATGGAAACCAGAGGCCAATCTAAGGCAGGTCTTCCACTAGCCTGGAGCTCGCAGAGTCAGCTATGCCGGCAGGAATCCCAGGGACCCAATCTCTGCTCCCCAGCACTGGGTTACAACCTGCACCACCACCATGCCCCACTTGCTTGGTTTTTGCTTGTTTTGTTTTCTGTTTGTTTTTTAACCTGAGTCCTGGGGAAAGAACTCAGATCTTCCTGCTTACAAGGCAAGCCCTTTACCAACTAAGCAATCTCTCCACCTCCTCTGACCTCAGTTTCTCCTTGGTAAAACTGAAATTTTTGCTTCTAAATGTTCCAGTGAACAGTCCCTGGAAGCTAGAAGACAGGAAATATAAACCACTAAAAGCACCATGCAGGAGTACTCTTGGTCAGCGGGAGTGGGGGACAGCCGGCACTTTCTAGGGGAAATGTCTCCTCCCAATACTGATGGAGTAAGGATGGCCTATGCCAGGCTATGGCATCTTTGGCTAGTCACCACCCACACTGCCCTAAAGGGCTGATTTAGATGATAACTCCAGTATAACTGGAGAAGAAAATAAAAACAAATGGAAAACTCTGAACAACTTAAGAGGGAATAAACAAGGGGATGTTAGCCACTGCCCAACCACAGAAAACCCAACTGTCCTTACCCAATCCTGACTTTTCTGGGGGTTAGATAGCACTATCAATGGACAACAGTCCCAAAATCCTAGATCTTCGAGCTGGAGAAGTTCCCTCAAAGTAATTTCATGTAAACCCCTCTCTCATCACTAGCTTGTCCCTCACTGTCACTGCAACAAGCAGGACCAGACGGTAAGTACCAAAGGGGACAGCTCTGACTAAAGCTGTTATGGATCTTGTATTTAGGCCTGGATTTGCCACAGATCTCCAGGGGCCCTTGAGCCTGTCACTTTGCTCAAGGTTGAACTAAATGATCTAGACCTCTTCCAGCTCTAAAATTCCAACAGTCCAAGTCTCTTGTGGACACAGTTAGCTATTAACTTTCTGTCAAAGACACAGTCCTCTCATCACAAACCCAGGGCCTTCAGAGGCTGCACTGTGAGCCACTTACCACTCCTGTCCCGCTACTACTATCTGCACGGCTCACAAGGCAGCCTCCCCACAGGCAGCCCCATGTGGTCGGGCCTGGCTGTGATCAGGTCTCTCCTGAGTCATGTGTCTACCACTACCTGACTGCCTACACCCTCCCTCTCCAGACCTAAATTTGCTGCTGCGGCGGCTGCTGTACTCTCCAGCCTTGCTCAGCTCACTAAAGAGCTGGACTCCATACCCTTTTCGGCATCCTTGGACTCACCAACCTCTGCTGTCCTCAGACACAAGCCTCCAGCAGCTCTATAGCCACCACCTCCCAGATCCTCACTCTGGCTGCAGTTCTCCCGCCCCACCCCCTCAGGCTCCTTCCTCTCCTGCCCTCTCCCTTTCTTCCAGTGACTTTAACCTTCTAATCATCCTGACTTCTTTCTCCAACTCCCCAGACCAGGAAGCTTTTCCTAATATTGACTGGAGGAAAGGTAAGTATGTCGCTAAGTTATCTTGACCCTCCTGTCTCCAAGGACAATCTGTCAACTCAGCTGCTTTATCATTTTAGGACAGTGAGCCTCTTGAAGGCAAGTCACTCAACCCCAATGTGCCTCCATTAGCCCAAAGCACAAGAATAAACAATTTACATATCCTCAAAACAGAATACTATTCATGTAACGAGAGCGAATCTCAAAAACATTTGAAACAAGAGGGAAAGAAACCATTGACAAAAGCATGCACATTAATATGATTGTTCAATTTTTGTTTTGATAGGGTTTCTCTGTGTAGCCCTGGCTGTCCTGGAGCTCACTCTGTAAACCAGGCTGGCCTCAAACTCAGAGATCTGCCTGCCTCTGCCTCCCAAGTACTGGGATTAAAGGCGTGTGCCACCACCCCAACTGATTCTGTTTGTTTATTTCTTTTTCCTTTTTCAAGACAAGGTTTCATATAGCC